CCCGAAACATCAGCTTTCCTGCTCCTATGATGCTGCTTGGCCTGCTGTGTTCATCCAGCTCTACATCTTGTTATCTCAGATTCTCCAGCATCTGCAGTTCCTACTATCTCGGAGAATTGATTATGATTTGTTTAGCTTTAAATAAATCAAGTGAAAGGTCAAAGTTTATAGTAGAGGTCAGCATTTTTTAAATTATTATGAAATATGGACTTCATTGCTAGACATACATTCATTGCCCACCGTTAAATGCTCTGAAGAAGACAGCAGCAAGTTGCCTTCTTGACCGTCATTGTTCCGTCAAGATCAATGCACCAGGTTAGTCATTTTATTCATCAGTTGGTTGGTCTGCTCTGTTTTCAAGCTTTTTCCAGTAAAGTTCTTAGAATGCTAAGATCTGAAAGGAATGCAAGTTGAATTGCAACCCATTGCCAAGCAATTATTGTTAGGGATAGAGATAGGGTTAGGGACAGGGTCAGGGTTAGATCCAGAGCCAAAATCTCAAAGCCTCACCTTCTGACTGTCACCTTTTAGTTTTGATTGAGGAGATGTCTGTCTGAGAAGATTCTTTGATGTCACCACAGCTGCAGAGAAGCCATCTACTGATGAGCACTGGGAACATTAAGATTTTATCCTTCAGTCATTTATCAACTCAATAAGCAGTTATACTATAAACAATCTCTGCATTTGTTGTCATCTTTTTACTTCCATTGTTTGAGGTTAATCCTGCTAATGTTATTTTGTCCTCTAGTACGCCTCTCTCTAAACACGATCACACTGATGCTTTTGAACCATCACAGCCAATAGTCAGAGGAATGTGTCCATCCAATGGTTTTATGACATTATGTTAATGAATGAATGTGACTTGAAACATTATCTCAGGTTCATCCTGGTCTGTAGCTCGTCCTTTTCTGGAAGGGTTGTTTTATTGAGGATAAGGATGATTTTCACCATACTTCTGGAGCAACTCTGAGTTTTGTCCAGTCCCTGTGAGGAATGTAGCCAATGAGGTAAACAAGTCAGAGAATCTGAGCTGTGGTCTTGGTCTTGTTAATCCTGAACTCTTTACTAACCTGGTTTCCCAATGGAGCATGCTATCACCCTCATTAATGTAACATGAATGTATTAGGAATTCAGCATTGTTGACTTATGTAAAGAAACCACCTCTAGGATCTCACTACACTACAGATCCCTTCTCAGGTTTATTGATTTCCCATTGTTTTTCCTATTCATGAACTAGCATTCCTTTTAAATATCCTTAGGATAAATGCCATATTGAAAGTGGAGTTTAGCAGCACAGGATGCATCCCAACCAAATGTTCACATTGGCAGAGGATTGGAAGATATTTTTTATAATCTATTCATTTGATATAGGTGATGGCATTAGCTGCCTTATTGAATCATCACAGTCTGTGTACTGTAGGGACACTGGCATAGCACCAACATCTTTGAACACAGAATAAAAATGATGGTGGTGAACATGATTTCCTTAATCCCAATCAAAAAGGCAGCTAATTTTACACCAGGTCTGAGTTGCCAGTTTCCTTTACCTTCAAGTCAATTTTTGCAATGCGATTCCACAGGCCTGATTTTAACACAATCCAAATGCACCCACTTCCAAGAGTTGGGCTCCATATATACCAGATGACTTAAAAGGTGATGTGGCTAATATTGGCACAGTCAGGACCAGTCTCCATTAGCTGTGATGTCCACCTCTTTCCCACAAATTCTGCAATGTATTTGTAAGCAAGAACAACCCTCCTTACTATCCCCTCATTTAATATCACCTCCAATTCAACCACAACCAAATATGGCGTCAGAAAAGGGGGAGGGGAAGGGGGTTCTGAAATAAATAGGGAGAGAGTGGGAGGCAGATAGAAGATGGATAGAGGAGAGGATAGGTGGAGAGGAAACAAACAGGTCGAAGAGGCGGGGGATGGGGCCAGTAAAGGTGAGTGTAGGTGGGGAGTTAGGAAGGGGATAAGTCAGTCCATGGAGGACGGACAGGTCAAGGGGGCGGGATGAGGTTGGTCGGTAGGAGATGGAGGTGCGGCTTGAGGTGGGAGGAGGGGATAGGTGGGAGGAAGAACAGGTTAGGGAGACAGGGACGAGCTGGACTGGTTTTGGGATGCTGTAGGGGGAGGGGAGATTTTGAAACTCGTGAAATCCACATTGATACCACTGGGCTGCAGGGTTCCCAAGCGGAATATGAGTTGCAGTTCCTGCAACCTTCGGGTGGCATCGTTGTGGCACTGCAGGAGGCCCAGGATGGACATGTCGTCTGAGGAATGGGAGGGGGAGTTGAAATGGTTCGCGACTGGGAGGTGCAGTTGTTTATTGCGAACCGAGCGTAGGTGTTCTGCAAAGCGGTCCCCGAGCCTCCGCTTGGTTTCCCCGATGTAGAGGAAGCCACACCGGGTACAGCGGATGCAGTATACCACATTGGCAGATGTGCAGGTGAACATCTGCTTGATGTGGAAAGTCTTCTTAGGGCCTGGGATGCGGGTGAGGGAGGAGGTATGGGGGCAGGTGTAGCACTTCCTGCGGTTGCAGGGAAAAGTGCCGGGTGTGGTGGAGCTGGAGGGGAGTGTGGAGCGGACAAGGGAGTCACGGAGAGAGTGGTCCCTCCGAAAAGCAGATAAGGGTGGGGAGGGAAAGATGTCTATGGTGGTGGGGTCGGATTGCAGATGGCGGAAGTGTCGGAGGATGATGCGTTGGATCCAGAGGTTGGTGGGGTGGTACGTGAGGACGAGGGGGATTCTTTTTTGGTTCTTATTGCATGGCCGGGGTGTGAGGGATGAGTTGCGGGAGATGTGGGAGACACGGTTGAGGGCGTTCTTGACCACTGAGGGGGGGAAGTTACGGTCCTTGAAAAACGAGGACAACTGAGATGTACGGGAGTGGAATGCCTCATCCTGGGAGCAGATGTGGCGGAGGCGAAGGAATTGGAAATAGGGGATAGCATTTTTGCAGGAAGGTGGGTGGGAGGAGGAGTATTCTAGGTAGCTGTGGGAGTCGGTGGGCTTGAAATGAATATCGGTTTCTAGGTGGTTGCCCGATAGGGAGACAGAGAGGTCCAGGAAGGGGAGAGAGGTGTTAGAGATGGTCCAGGTGAACTTAAAGTTGGGGTGGAAGGTGTTAGTGAAGTGGATGAACTGTTCGAGCTCCTCGTGGGAACCCGAAGGTTGCAGGAACAGCAACTCATATTCCGCTTGGGAACTCTGCAGCCCAATGGTATCAATGTGGATTTCACAAGTTTCAAAATCTCCCCTCCCCCTACCACATCCCAAAACCAGTCCAGCTCGTCCCTGCCTCCCTAACCTGTTCTTCCTCCCACCTATCCCCTCCTCCCACCTCAAGCCGCACCTCCATCTCCTACCGACCAACCTCATCCCGCCCCCTTGACCTGTCCGTCCTCCCTGGACTGACCTATCCACTTCCTAACTCCCTACCTACACTCACCTTTACTGGCCCTATGCCCGCCTCTTCCACCTGTTTGTTTCCTCTCCACCTATCCTCTCCTCTATCCATCTTCTATCCGCCTCCCACTCTCTCCCTATTTATTTCAGAACCCCCTTCCCCTCCCCCTTTTCTGATGAAGGGTCTAGGCCCGAAATGTGAGCCTCTCTGCTCCTATGATGCTGCTTGGCCTGCTGTGTTCATCCAGCCCTGCACCTTGTTGTCTCGGATTCTCCAGCATCTGCAGTTCCTACTATCTCTGATTCAAATATGGTGTCACTTGGTCACAAGACCAATTCTGAGACAGAATGGCAGAGTTGTTACAACACAGCAATAGGTCATTTGGCCAATTGTTAATGTATTGGCTTTCCAAAGGAGCAGTTCCTCTTGTGCTACTCCCCTATCTCCTCACTGTAGCCTACACAGTCTACTTTCCAGATAATAATCCAATTATCCCTTCAATGTTTGACTGAATGTGACACCACCACTTCCTCAGTCAGAACCTTCTAGATCCTAGCCGCTTGCTGCATGAAAGTCTACCGTCTGGTCTTCAATTCTTTCATGAGTGGGAATAACATTTCACTATCTATGCTACCAGCACCACCCTAATTTTAAATTCTCTAACAAATCTCCTCTCGACCTTCTCATCTCCAAGGAAATAGTCCCAACTTCTCCAATCTATCTATGTATTTCAAGTTCCTCACCCCTGGAATTATTCTTGTGAATCTTTTCTGTACCCTCTACACTGCCTTCATATCCTTCCTAAAATATGATGCCAAATACTTTTAATTAATTTGTTGGCCTTTCCCTTTTCAGATTTAACATTTGGTTCATTGCATTTTTCTTTCCCAAACTGCCAAATCTGTCTGAGGGAAGATCTCATACAAAAACAATAAAAATTATAACAAGGTAAACTCATGAAGGATGTTCCTAATGAAGGGGGAATCCAGAATCTGGGTGACAGTCTAAGGATACAGGGTAGGCCATTTAGAGTTGAGACAAGAAGAAATTTCCTAACTCAGAGTAGTGAGCCTGTGGAATTTTCTTCTGCAGAAAGCGTTGTGGTCAAAACATTGAATGTTTTCAATAAGGAGGGCTTTGGGGTTCATAGGGCATGGGGAGAAAGCAGGAAGAGGGTACTGAGTTGAATGATCAGCCATGATCATACTGAATAGCACAGCAGGCTCAAAGGGTTAAATGATCTGCTCCTGCTCCTATTTTCTATGTTTCTAGGTTTCTTTGTTTTTATGTTTCTACGTTTCCTGTAATTACCCTCATGCCTTCAAATTTCATTTGTAATTCAATATCCTGGTCCTCCCACCCATCTGCACCTTAAACATGTCATATCTGTGTCACAGGCTGGCAAATAAATGCAAACAATCGATTACTTCATGATATGGTAAGTTGGGCAGGCATGGTGTAAATGCCATCTTAAAATGTTGGTTTGGAGAATAAAACTGAACACCTTACCTGGCCTCCTGGCATTCCACAGCAAGTCTCCAGTTCTATCAGTTGAGTATTGCAGTAAACCATTATTTGCTGAAGGTCAAACTGTGTAAAGATGTCAGAAACAGATTACTGTAGATTTTTCTTTCCTATCCTGCCTCAACCAAACAATTTAATTGTTATCATGAACTCTTCCTTTAAATGCCATTTGATCTCCATCTCAACAATCAAAAATGGTATGTCACTTAACTTCATTCAAAAAATTGAAATTCTCCAGTGGGTTTGGAGTTACTTACATCTACAGGTGTCCCATCACTAACACGGACTCCAACTGCAGTTTGCCCATAGACATCGATGCTTCCTATCTCTTCACTATGTCGACTGTCGACCAGCTTGCAGTCCTTGTAAAGGGACACTGACGCAGACTGCACATTGATTGCCAGCTTGTGCCAGTGACGGTCAAACAGAGAACTGAGTTCCCGCTTCTTAAACATCAAATGCAAACTGTTTCCAGATCTCCCCTTGGCACTGAATTCCACCAGCTTTCTGCCCCCATTGATAGAGATAGAAACCTAAAAGAAGAATAGCAGTGAGATTAGCCGAGGACAGAAAGATAATCAACTCCTGTCCTGTGTGAGCTCTTATGATAAATTATTCAGGACGATAATTGACAGCACAGTTGTTGATAGGTGAAGAATGTGGATGGGATAGAGAATCAATTCCATCCCATGCCTATGAAAAAGCACCCTGACTTCTGTTGTGTTGAATATTACTGTGCAGGGCTCCAGTTGATTGAAAGGTTGAATTTTGTTTTAGATCAATGCATGAGTGATCGCTCAGATAGACATGAGGATGATATAAATAATTTTCAAGACAGTGGGTGAAGGAGAAAGTATGGTAATGCCTTATCTTTGCTGATGACATTGAGGGATATGGGGATAAGGTGGTAAAGTGACAATAAGGTAGCTGGTCAGCTGTGATCTAGAATGGTGAAGGTGGCTCATTTTGTTGAATAACCTCTCTTGCTCCTATAAATCTACATTTTCCACACCTTACTATTCACTAAAGGCTTATCAGGTATGGGCAGGATCAGATTTGTGGTGTCCTGCAGGGATGGATGACACTTCCTGTCCAGGTTTATATATTAAAGAAGGGCCAGCTGTGTAATGAGCAGACAGCTTTGGTAACTCAATAAGTACAGCCCTATCAGGGGCCCAGAAAATAACTATTTCACACTATCTTTTTAACATTAACAATGCCTGTCCAATATAAAAAAGGTTTACATTTTTTTGATGGGCTTCTTATCCCCAGGACACTGACTGCTTGCATTGTCCATGGGGGTTTTGAGCTATTCATCAATACACGCAGTGATCAAGACCACACAGCTGGATGACACGCTCATAAGACATAAGAGCAGAAGTAGGCCATTGAAGGCTGCTCCAACATTCAGTGAAATTGTAGGTGATTTCATAATCCTCAACTTCAAGTTCCTTTTCCCTTGATTCGCTCACTGATTAAAAATCTGTCTATCTCAGCCTTGAATATAACGAATGACTCAGCCTCGACAGTCCTTTGCAGTAAAGGACTGTCTCCCCTCTGAAGGAAGAAATTCCTCCTCATCTCAGTATTAAATGTGTGATCCCTTATTCTGAGATTATGTCCTCTGGTCCGAGATTCTCCCACAAGGATTGTCATTAGAGATAACAGTATTAGCAGATGAATGCTGAAAACTGTGCTGCAAAACACTCCACTATCTGAAATTCTAGTGCAAGTATTCACAGAGTTAAAAGAAATTGATTTAGGCAGGGATTAAAATTGCAAACGTTCCTTCCCTCAGAAACCCATACTAACATTAGCCATTGGCATCTCGAAACGTATCTTGGCTAATGAAAACACGGAGGTGAAACACTTCAAGAAATTAGAAAAAGGGAGTAAGAGAGGGACTCATCAGACAGACTCCCTAAAGGTTAGAGGGAGTGTGAGATAGCCGGAGAGACTCCCCTCCCCTTGATCCCTGATACCTGATTCCTCTTAAACTTTTCTCGCTCTTTTTGACCACTATTCATTGACAATCCATTGGCCTTGCCATCTCTCTAGCCTTTTTACACTCAGAATCTACATCACTGCAGAAACCATCACTGGTCTCTTTGTTGTACTGTTCAGTTGGGACATTCTTTTACGCCATTCCAACACCACCACCCCCCGCACCAGCCACAGGTAAAACTAGCCATCTTCTCACTAACAACTTAAGAATCATAGAATCCCTACAGTGTGGAAACAGGCCCTTCGGCCAAGTCCACACTGAAACTCAGTGCATCCCATCCAGACCCATCCCCCTTTAACCCACCTAATCTGCACATTCCTGAACACTATGGGAAATTTAGCATGGCCAATCCACCTAACCTGCACATCTTTGGATTGTGGGAGGAAACCGCAGCACTCGGAGGAAACCCACGCAGTCACGGGGAGAATGTGCAAACTCCACACAGACAGTTGCCTGAGGGTGGAATTGAACCCAGGCATTGGGACTGTGAGGCAGCAGTGCTAACCACTGAGCTACCGTGCCGCTGAAGTTGAACTGAGCTGAAAAGGAGAACATGAACATTGAACAAAACAGCACAGGAATTGGCCCTTGGGTCCACAATGTTGTGCAGAACATGACATCAAATTTAACTAATCCCTTCGGCAGCCCTTGCTCCATATCCTTCCATTCACTGCACATTAATGTGCTTATCTAAAAGCCTCTTAAACACCCCTTTCTTATTGGCCTCCACCACCAACCCTGGCAGTGTGTTCCAGACTCCTACCACTTAGTGAAACAAAAACTTGCCCCTCACGTCTCCTTTGAATTTTCCCCCATCTCACCTTAAACACATGCCCCCTAGTTTTAGGCAACCCGATCTATGCATCTCATAACTTTATAGATTTCTATCAAGTCTCCCCTCAGCCTTCACTGCTCCAGAGTAAACAACTCGAGTTTTTCTAGCCTCTCCTTATAGCTGATACCCTCTAATCCAGGCAGCATCCTGATTAACATCTTCTGCACCCTCTCCAAAGCCTTCACATCCTTCCTGTAATGATGCTACCAGACTTGAACGCAATACTTCAAGTGTGGCTTAACCAAGTCTTATAAAGCTGCAACATGACATCCTGACTCTTGTACTCAATTCCCCAACCAACAACGGCAAACATGCCATATGCTTTCTTTAACACCCTATCTACTTACATGGTCACTTTCAGGGAGCAATGGACTTGAACCCCAAGATCCCTCTGCACATCAATGCTATTCAGAGTCCTGCCATTAACTTTACACTTATCCTTAACATTTAATCTCCCAAAGTGCAGCACCTTACACTTAACCCAGATTAAGCTCTATCTGTCATGTCCCCACCCAAATCTGGAAATGATCCATATCCCACTGTATCCTTTGATAACCTTCTATAGTAGCCATAACTCCACTGATCTTTGTATCATCTGCAATTTTCATCGAACTCATTTACATTTATCACAAACAGCAGAGATCCCAGTACGGCTCCCTGTGGAACACCACTAGTCACAGACCTCCAGCCTGAAAAACACCCTTCCACCACTACCCTGTGCCTTCTGCGGTCAAGCCAATTCGGAATCCATGTGGCCAAGTCACCTTGGAACCCATGCATCCTAATCTTCTAGATGAACCTACCATGAGGGACCTTGTCGAAAGCTTTACTAAAATCCATCCAGACAACATCTACTGCTCTACCCTCGATTACGTTCATTACCTCTTCAAAAAATTCAATCAAGTCAGTACGACATGACCTACCCTGCACAAAGCCATGCTGACTGTCCCTAAGTAGGCCATGCTTTTCCAAATGCGCGTAAATCCTATCCCTAAGAATGCTCTCCAATAGTTTCCCAACCACTGATGTCAGACTCTGTAGTTTCCTGGATTATCCGTAATTACCTTCTTGATCAGAGGAACTACATTAGCAACTTGCCTCCAGGACCTCTCCAGTGGCTTGTGGGGATACAAACATCTTGGTTAAAGCCCCAGCAATTTCCTCTCTTGCCTATCTCAACAACTTTGGTAGATACCATCGGATCCTGGGGACTTATCCACCTTAATGCTCTTCAAGAGATCAAATACTACTTCTTCCTTGATCTCAAAACGCCCTAGCATATTAGCATACTCCATACAAATCTCACTATCCTCCATATCCTTCTCCTGTATGAATACTGACACAAAGTAATCATTCAGGATCTCACCCACATCTTCTGCCTCCAAGCACAAGTTCTCTCCTTTATCCTTGAGTGGTGCCACCTTCTCCCTACTTAGCCTCTTATTTTTGATCTATGTATAGAATGCCTGCAAATTCTCTTTAACCCAACTTGCCAAGTCATTTCATGGTCCCTTCTTGCTCTCCAAATTCCCTGCTTGAGTTCTTTCCTGCCTTCTTTATATTCCTAGAACATAGAACATAGAACAATATAGCACAGTACAGGCCCTTCCGTCCACAATGTTGAGCCAACCTATTTTCCTACTCTAAGAGCAAACTACCCTGCATACCCTACATTTTACGATCATCCATGTGCCTATCCAAGAGTCGCTTAAATGTCCCTAATGTATCTGACTCCACTACCACTGCCGGCAGCGCATTCCATGCACCCACCACTCTCTGTGTGAAGAACCTACCTCTGACATTTCCCCTATACCTTCCTACAATCACCTTAAAATTATGCCCCCTCGTAACAGTCATTTCTGCCCTGGGAAAAAGTCTCTGGCTATCCACTCTATCTGTGCCTCTCATCATCTTGTACACCTCTATCAAGTCACCTCTCATCCTTCTTTGCTCCAATGAAAAAAGCCCTAGCTTCCTCAACCTTTCCTCATAAGACCTGCCCTCCGGTCCAGGCAGCATCCTGGTAAATCTCCTCTGCACCCTCTCTAAAGCTTCCACATCCTTCCTATAACGAGGTGACCAGAACTGAACACAATATTCCAAGTGTGGTCTAACCAGGGTTTTATAGGGAGGTAGCATAACCTCGTGGCTCTTAAATTCAATTCTCCTGCCAACGAAAACCTTCTTAACAACCCTATCAACTTGGGTGGCAATTTTGAGGGGTCTATGGACATGGACCCAATGATCCCTCTGTTCCTCCATACAGCCAAGAATCCTGCCATTAACCCTGTATTCTGCATTTAAATTCGACCTTCGAAAATGAATCACTTCACACTTTTCCAGGTTGAATTCCATCTGCCACTTCTTTGCCCAGCTCTGCATCCTGTCAATGTCCCATTGCAACCTACAACAGCCCTCCACACCATCCACAACTCCACAAAACATTGTGTCATCGGCAAACTTATTAACCCACTTTTCCACTTCCTCATCCAAGTCATTTATAAAGATTACAAAGAGCAGGGGTCCCAGAACAGATCCCTGTGGAACACCACTGGTCCAGGCTGAATACTTTCCATCGACTACCACTCTCTGTCTTCTATTGGACAGCCAATTCTGAATCCAGACAGCCAAATTTACCTGGATCTCATGCCTCTTTACGTTCTGAATGAGCCTACCATGGGGAACCTTATCAAATGCCTTGCTAAAATCCATATACACCACATGCACTGCTCTACCTTCATCAATGTGTTTTGTTAGATCCTCAAAGGATTCAATAAGGCTTGTGAGGCATGACCTGCCCCTCACAAACCATGCTGACTATTTCTATTCAAACTGTGCCTTTCCAAATAATCATAAATACTATCTCTCAGAATCCTCTCCAATAATTTGCCCACCACAGAAGAAAGACTGACTGGTCTGTAATTCCCAGGATTATCCCTCATACAACATATGAATCATAGATCATAGAATCCCTACAGAGTGGAAACAGGCTATTCGGCCCAACAAGTCCACACAGCCCTATGAAGAGCATCCCACCCGAACTCATTCTCCCTACCCATGCATTTCCCCCCGTCTAACTCACCTCACCTAAACATCCCTGGACACTACGGGCAATTTAGCATGGCCAATCCACCTACCCTGCATATCTTTAGACTGTGGGAGGAAACCCACGCTGACACTGGGAGAATGTGCAAACTCCACACAGATCAAGGGTGGAATCGAACCCGGCAGCAGTGCTAACCACTGAGGCACCGTGCTGCCCTATTCCCTTTCTTGAACAAGGGAATAACATTTCTCACACCTGAATCATCTGGTACTACTCCAGTGGACAGTGAGGATGAAAAGATCATCACCAAAGATGCAGCAATCTCTTCCCTTGCTTCCCGTAGAAACCTTGGGTATATCCTGTATGGCCCAGGGGACTTATCTATCCTCATGTTTTTCAAAATTTCTAGCACATCAACCAGTTCAAGCATAATCAGCCTGTTTCACGCTGTTCTCACAAGGATCCTCTCACTGGCGAACATTGAAGCAAAGTATTCATTAAGGACCTCCCCTATCTCCTCCGACTCCAGGCACAAGTTCGCTCCACTATCCCTGATCAGTCCTACCCTCAATCTGGCCATCCTCTTTTTCCTCACGTCAGCATAGAACGCCTTGGATTTTTCCTTAATCCTACCCGCTAAGGCTTTTTTCATGCTCCCTTCTAGCTCTCCTAAGTCCATTCTTCAGTTCCTTCCTGGCTACCTTGTAGCCCTCTAGAGCCCTGTTCGATCCTTGCTTCTTCAGCCTTGTGTTCAACACGTCTTGTCACCCAAGGTTCCCTCACCTTACCATCCATTCCTTGCCACAGTGGGACAAACCTATCCAGTACTTGCAGCAACCTCTCCCTAAACAATCTCCACATTTCTGTCGTGCATTTCCCTGAGAACATCTGTTCCCAATTTATGCTCTGCAGTTCTTTCCTAACAGCATTGTAATTCCCCCTCCCCCAATTAAATATTTTCCCATACCGTCTGCTCCATCCCTCTCCATGACTATAGTAAAGGTAAGTGAGTTGTGATTACTATCACCAAAATGCTTTCGCACTGAGAGATCTGACACCTGGCCTGGGTCGTTGCTAAGCAACAAATCCAATATGGCCTCCCCTCTGGTCAGCCTATCTACATATTGAGTCAGAAATCCTTCCTGGACACACCTGACAAAATCTACTCCATCTAAACTATTTACACTTAGGAGGTTCCAGTCTATATTAGGGAAGTTGAAGGCACCTATAATAACAACCCTATTACTTCTGAAGCTTTCCAAAATCTGCCTCCCAATATGTTCCTCAGTGTCTCTTTTGCTCTTGGGAGTTCTATCAAAAACTCCCAATAAAGTGACTGCTCCTTTCCTGTTTCTGACTTCCACCCATACTGACTCAGTTGACAAACCCTCCTCGACGACCTCCCTTTCTGCAGCTGTGAAACCATCCCTGATTAGCACTTCCCCACCTCTTACCTCCCTCCCTATTTCTTTTGAACATCTAAACCCCTGAACATTCAACAACATCGTAGCTCCATATGGGGGAGGCGATGGCCTAGTGGTACTATTGCTGTACTGTTAATCCAGAGACCCAGACAACATGCTGGGGACCCGGGTTTGAATCCTGCTATGGCAGATGGTGGATTTGAATTCAATAAATACCTGGAATTAAGAGTCTAATGATGACTGTGAATCCATTGTCAATTGTTGGAAAAACCCATCTGGTTCACTAATATCCTTTAGGGAAGGAAACTGCCATCCTTACCTGGTCTGGCCTAAAATGTGACTCCAGACTCACAGCAATGTGGTTGACTCTTAACTGTGCTCTGACCAATTAGGGATGGGCAATAAATGCTGCCTAGCCAGCGACGCCCTCATCCCATAAAAGAATAAAGAAAAAAATGTACTGATCCATGCTCTAAGTTCGTCATCCTTATTCCTGACACTTTTTGCGTTAAAGTAGACACACTTCAACCCGTTGCACTGACTGCAACTTTTACCTATCAACTGTCTATCCTTCCTCACAGACTCTCTGCATGCTGTATCTGCCTGGACACCAGCTACCCATCCTCTGATCCGTAGCTCCGGTTCCCATTCCCCTGCCCAACTAGTTTAAACCCTCCGAAGAGCTCTACCAAACCTCCTGCCCAGGATATTGGTGCCCCTCCAATTCAGGTGCAACCTGTCCTTCTTGTACAGGTCCCACCTTCCCCAGAAGGCATCCCAATGATCCAGATATCTGAAACGCTCCCTCCTACACCAGCTCGGTAGCCATGTGTTCAGCTGCACTCCTCTCTATTCCTAGTCTCACTAGCCTGTGGCACTGCTTTATTGCATCTTACCTCATGGGCCCTGTCTGATTTTAGCTTCCTAAACATTAAATCTGCTTCTTTTTCCCTTTTAACTAAATTCATAACCTCCTTAGTTATCCAAGGATCCCTTACCTTACCATCCTTGTTCACCGTCCTTACTGGAACATGCCAGTCCTGAACTCTCATCAGCAGATTTTTAAACAACTCCCACATGTCAAATGTGGACTTGCCTGATCACAGCTCCTCCCAATTAACACTCCCTAGCTCCTGCCTAATACTGATGTAATTTGCCCTCCCCTAATTTTGTACCTTGCCACAGGGGCCGAACTTATCCTTACTCATAGCTATCTTAAAACTTAAGGAGTTATGATCACTGTTTCCAAAATGCTCTCCAAAATGGTCAGTCATCTGGCCAGGCTTATTAGCCAATACAAGGTCCAGTATGGCCCCTCCTCTACTTGGACTATCCACACATGGTTTCAAGAATTCTGTCCCATCTAAGCCTCTTGCTCCAATGGAGTCCCAGACAATATTGGGGAAGTTAAAGTCACCCACTATGACAACGCTGTTTTTATTGCATCGTTCCATAATCTGCCTACATATCTGTTCCTCAATGTCTTGGTGGCTGTTGGGAAGGCCTATGGTAAAAATCCTATCAGACTGACTGCATCTATCTTATTTTTAAGCTCTCCCCATATTGTCTCAGTGGATGAGCGCTCCAGTATGTCCTCTCTGAGTGCAGATTTATCATTCTCCCTGATTAGTGATGCGACTCCTCCCCCTCTTTATCTTCCTCTTTATTTCGTCTAAAACAACAAAACCTTGGAATATTGAGCAGCCAGTCCGGGCCACCTCTCAACCAAATCTCTGTAATGGCCACAACATCAAAATCCCATGGGCTGGTCCAGGCTCTCACCTCATCAGCCTTTCCCATAATTCTGCTTGTTTTGAAATAAACACACTTCACCCTATTAGTACCAAATGTGCTCATTTATCTGTCTCTGCTTGTCCCTCCTTTTTGATTTGGTGGTCCTAACATCTGCTTTCCCCTCAATCCCTCCACTGGCTGACCTGCTGCTTAGGTTCCCAGCCCCCTGCTTTGTAGTAGAAACCTTAACCTCACCTGTTTCCTCCATTGACACCAGTGACTTCCTGAGGCTATCCATCAGTTTGTGTCTCTGTTTCAGATTTCAAAAACTGGCAGTTCTGCTTCTTGGAGAACGATTAATGGATCTTGTGAATGTACAAATTAGGCGCACAAGTAGGCTATTTGGCCCCTCAAGCTTCCTCTGTCATTCAATAAAATCATAGCTAATTTGTTTGAGTTTTGAATTGCACATTCCCACCAACTCTCCTATAATCTTTGATCCCTTTGCTAACAAGAATCTATCCCTTTCCTGCCTTCACCACCTTCAGAGGCAGTGAACTTCAAAGTCTCATAACTCTCTGAAAGAAAGAAATTCTCCTCAGCTCTGTCCTAAGAGGGTGTTCCCACCTTTTTAAAGAGTGTCCCTTAGTCCTGGACTGATCCACAAAAGTAAATATCCTTCCAATGTCTACCTTATCGAAACTGTTCAGGATCTTATACCCATCAGTCAGGCTTACCTGTACACCACCAGACTGGTCAGTAATCTGCCAAAGGTGCCAATGTTCCTTCCTGGTGGCTCTCTTCAGGCGAAAGATAGCGACGAAAGTAAACTTTTCTGGCAATCCTTTTGGAAAAATCTGCCTGGAACGAATCATAAGTGATCAGTTCGCAACTGAGGGATTAGATAGAAAGGTCCTGGAAAGAACTAGTGAAAAAGGGCCGGCAAGATACAGCTTCATTGTATGTCCAACTCAGTGTGTAACAGACTGTGTTCATTACTGAAATTTTCAAGATTGAGGTTAATGATTTTTTTTGTTGGGCAATGGTCTTGATGTGTTGCAGAACAAAGGCAGGTACATCAAGGGAAGATACAGATTGCCCATTACCTAATTTTGTGGTGGACAAGGCTCAAGGGGTCTTTTCTTGTTCCTATGACTTATGGCTCTGATCATCGCAAGTCAATACTAAGAATCGTTCAGGAACGACTAACATGTGGCTTAAAGAGAGAGAAATGCACAGCTATGCTTTAAGCAGAATTTATGAATGAATGGATAGTGACAGATTATCAGTTTTTATTTCAATGTTGGAATGCCTGAAATTTTCAGTCTCAAAGACTGTCATGATGGCAGTTCCATGTAACCACAGTATATTAGTTTAGAATTCTGTTAATTAGGAACTTAACACGTAAATATCCCATAAAACAATTTCTTTACAGATTATATTAAGTTTGCATTTTAATGAATCAAGGACGGGGTAGTTGGGAGCATGCTCTGGGCGTTCTTTGTAGTCAAGGCTTTAAAAATTCTTATCTGCTCTGGAAATTACTTCCTAGCATGTGGAGATGGCCACTGGGAAAAGTATCGCGGGAATGCTTCAACTCAAAGCTCCTTGCTCTTGAAATTGACAGTCACGGAAGTTGCATTCATAACATGGCCAAACAGGTGGATCAGCAATCTGCAAATCCTTTCAATACACGTAATGGCCGTCAGTAAGAGAGGGAGAGATTTCTGCTTAGCTGTGAGATGGAAGGAAATTAGAATCTCAACCATCACTATGCAGAAGCTCCAGACTCCAAACGTGCATATCAAATGTGTGTTTGCCACGGCAAGTTAGATTCCTTTCATGGCAAGTTGGTTTGGACAACTGGCGTGGATCAGATGAGTGCCAACAGCATGGAATCTGATGCCCACTCAAGCTGGGGGTGGATGCAGGATCTGCCTCCTGGCCCAAAACATGGCACCATGTGCTCGAGACATGCCTTTGGACAGAAAGCGGAATTAAAAAAATGAAGAATTACACAGTCCCAGTGAGGAGCAACATGCACAAAGTGTGAATTGAGCCGGTAATGTTGCAGTCCCAGTCCCATGCAGACTCATCCTCCTGTGCTCCCCAGTGGAATCCATAAACTATGTCTTTGGTTTCAAATAAGGATTGCGCCTGTGTGCAAATAGTTGTTCCTGATTGACCATCCATTCAATACACTACACAGAGGTTACTCATGCAGAAATAGCTCAACCATCTTACAAGTTTTTATGACTTGTTGTAAACAACTGGTACCAAAAGCGATAACACAATGACCTTCCAAAGAATATCACATTAATTTACCAGGCTATAAATTTGATGATCAACCATCCACTTTGAGTTACTGCCGCCAACAATTTTATATCCCAGTTTTCCTATTTGTAATATCCTGTAAAAACCATGAGTAAGATGTAGTTTTAAAAATGATGCAAGAACAAAATAAAATGAAGAATTTTGCCATGTGAAGAAAAAGCATAGAATAGAAGTCAGTAGTGCAGAAAGAAGCCACTTGGGCCATTGCATCTGGACTGGGTCTTTGAATGAGCTATCCAATTAATGACTACTCGACTAGATTATCAGTCAGCAGCAAGAGGCAACATCTACAAAACAGAAACTGAGAAATGGTCAATCACATTGCCTAGTTAAAGTAACCTTTCCAATAACAAATGCAAGATACGAGTAGCCTCTATCTCTGTGTGTTCCCAATGCATTGCTACATTTTGACAGTGCTGGTATGTTCTCTCAAATCTGGCACACTCAGGACTGAGGTCATTTAGAATTTGGGCATTGGGCAGTTCAGGCCAATTAAATGTGGATGGGATCAATATGAAGCATAGTCACAGCCTGGTTTACGAGCAGGCTCAGGGGTATGCATGATCTAACCAAGTTGCCCAGGTTAGTTCACTTATTTGAGAATTTTTTTTTAAAAATGATACATGACACTTTTGAAAATTGTCCATTTTCATAGAGATAATTTGAGAGAGTCCAGCTGTATCAATGCATTTAAACAAATTCTCTGCTCCATCATCAGTATTAACAATCTTATTTTTCTTTCAGGAAGATACCAACCCATGTACATAAATATTAAAATCACTGAGAGCAAAGAAAAAATACATTTCAATTATTGAAGTTATTTTTCTTTCCCACCTAGCAGGAACTGAATGCCATTTTCATTTACAATTACCAACAGGCACACCTCAATCCTTCAGACAATAAATGCCATTCAATTTTTCCTCCAAGTGATGGCCATTTGTCTCACAAGATTCTTTTAACTTCCTTTCATTCTGTTTACTGTAAAAGTTTCAGATGAAACTGTAATGCTTCCATTGTGGGCCCTGCCTCCTCAATTGAAGACTCAGTGAAAAACCCACTTTTCCCTGTGGAGGAGAGCCAACCAAGTTAACTGCCTGTCATGCACTTAACTGGTCAGCGTTAGAATGCCTCCTGGATTTAAGACCCCAGAGGTGGAAATCCTGCCTGCCGCAAGCTGTTGGCTGTCTGAGGCTGACTGAGCTAGGGACCATCGCTGGATCCCATCGATTCCAGTGAGTGAAGGCTGGATGGGGTCAAGGGGAAGGGTTTGCAGGAGAGTTGGAGGCAAGGACAGATATTGACATTGCTGGATGGTCCAGCATTTATGTGTTGGGCGACAGGTGGAATCCTCACAAGGCCATAGGCAAACCCATCAACAGCTGCTAGGCAACTTTTGAGAGGCATGGAATACTGTGCTATTCACATTTAATCCCTGAGCCACCACTACATGCAAATAGATTCAGGGATAATTGCCATCAATTTGCTCAGTAATGAGTCTGTTTAGATCCCACTGGAAGCGGACAAATTTCCCACATTAGCTTATTCTTGCCTCCATCTTAATCACAGATTCAGTACAGTGTGGAATCAGGCTACTTGGCCCATCAAGTCCACACCAACCCTCCAAAAAGCATCACACCCAGACTCACTCTCCCCCACTCTATCCCTCTAACCCTGCATTTTCCCATTGCTAATCCACCTAGCCTGCACATTTCAGGACACTATGGGAGATTTAGCTTGGCTAATCAACCTAACCTGCACACCTTTGGACTGCGGGAGGAAACCAAAGCACCGGGAAACTCACGCAGACACAGGGAGAATATGCAAACTTCACACAGTCACCAGAGGGTGGAATTGAACCTGTATCCCTGGCACAGTGAGGCAGCAGTGTGAACCACTGAGCCACCGTGCTGCCCAGGAGGTATCTTGCCACACGAAGTCTAATGGGTCACTGCTCCCACATTTAAGATGGCCCAGTCCCCTACTTCCTGCCCAACAATCTGAGATTAAATTCCTCCCACAATTTCAAGTGGAGACCCTATCAGCTAGAAAACACAATGCACTGTCTGGTGCACTCCGTAAAGAAGAAGATTGTATCTCAAGATTACCAATTCGATTCATCACTTTGTGCCACCTTTTGACCACTTTCCCACAGAAAGGATTCAGAAGGAAAGTTCCTCTAAATGGCCAAATGTTAGTACATAAAATGAAATGACCCATCCTTCGAGAAGGCAAGAACTGATTAGATAAAATGAGAGTTGTGTCGTCCAAAGGTTACAAACAATAAGCAGTTTGTTTCTTAGTTAACCTTTCTCACTAAGCATAGTGTGTCCCTTGTGTTTTGCACAGAGGGCTGAGTTGAGGTACTGATGTTTGACGTCAGAGGTTAAAGGTTGCTCAGACAGATTCCAGGCATACACATATCCCAGTCAGAGTTCTGGAATGAGTAAATATGATTATTATTGTTGCTCACTTTATTTTTAGTTTGTAGTGATTTGTGTCTGGCCTTATGCTGCACCTTTCTTAGCCTGTCTTTGCAGGGATTAAAGAAATATATCTGAAACAGTCAATGAATGTTGAATTTAGATTGTAAATGAATTCAACTAGTCAGCTCATTGAGACATTGCAGGTTGCATCTTTTTTCACAATCAAATCCTAATTGCCTCTTACTCCTGTCCTTGGTGCCATACCTGCCCAGGCCTCAGATTTAAACATCTCCTCCTGATTAAAACCCATCATTTGAAAAAAAAATTAAACCTGGGGCAAAAAGCTATCATCTGTAATGGTGACCATGAAATTACTGGATTGTTGTAAAAACCTCTCTGATTCACCAAAGTTCTTTCATAATTTGTCAGCTTGTTGCAGTCTCGTCTACATGTGGTTGACTCTTAATTGCCCTTGGAAGTAGCTTAGTTATCCGATTGAGTTTTATTCAAGGAGGTAGCTTACCACTGCATTCTCAAGGGAAATTAGAGATGGGTAAAAAATGAAAGCCTTACCAACGATATCCATTCCCCATGAGTGAATAAAGAAAAGGTCTCATCCTTATTTTTTGTTTCTAATCTCAGGCAGACCTTCTCTCCCTAGATTCCACAACAATCCTCTCTCTTTCCAAATCATCTTTCTTCAAATCCACTCCCATGAGCCAAGCTTTGGTCATTCCTCTTAAACTCTAACTCTTTAGTTGAACATCCCCTTTCTTTTGATTACAAAATTGTTACAGTGCAAAAGGTCATCATTTGGTCAATCATGTCTGTGCTGGTTCTCTGAACAAGCAATTCTAATGCCTTCCCCTCCATTTTCCCCATGCTGCTGAACGTTCTTCCTTTCTAAATAATAATACAGCTTCCTCTTGAAAGCCTCAATTAAATCTCCCTCTACCATACTCTCCGGCAATACATTCCAAATGCAAACCACCCACTCGCCTTTCACCAATAAGAACAATTTCTCCCCAACTACGTTGTCCACACTCCTCATGATTACAAACGTTCTATCCAATCTCCTGTTCTCTGGGGACAACAGTCCCACCA